GAGTGTTGATAGGTTTGTAGCTTAACCTATTCGCTGGAACGTTGAAGACAATATAATTACACAGCAAGCAAGACACGAAGTAGGCAAAGTTCTTCATGTTTCTCGTGCACGGGAGAGAACCGGACAAACGCCGTTCCTTCGCTTGACCCCAGTTGCTCTCGTCCGCTCCCCCGTAACACTGCTCTTTTATTGAGGTTACATGAATATGCATAGGTTCATTAACATATGACGTCTACATAAAAACAAAGAGTACCGTGTGTGTGTGTGTGTGTGTGTGGGTGGTCAGAGTGTGACCCCATAAATGACTTCCCTAAACCTGCTGGTCTGGAAGTCCAGCAGTTCATCTAAACAAAAGGCGCTTGGACTAAAACAGATATATGTCGTGTCCAAATTCACGGGCTGCGTCCTCCTGAGGACGCAATTGTAGACCGATTACGTCACAGCTGACGCGCCGAAGGCTGTCCAAATTCGTAGACTCCTCCGAATGCAGCCGACAAATGCGTCCTCCTTTTCCCCGAATTTGAAGGATGGGTCGGGTGTGTCCTTCGTGGCCCACCATATCCCAGAATTCATAGCGCGGCCCAGCCAAACTCCAGTTTCCAACAATGGCGGCCGCTACTAAGTTTTAAAATTACTCATACTAATCTTTCTGGGTCACAAAATAAACTTTTAACATATTTTCAGGCGAGAAAGTAGCTGTGTAAACATCAAATATCTGCTCGGTTTATCAAGATATCCCATATTTGCAAAAGTGCTTCGACGTTTTCGAGGCGTCTGCTACCCACCAGCTCGACAGCTAGCCGGGAGCTCGAGGGTTACTGATGCGGCCGAGAACGGCACAACTCCCGGCACATCATTTTCAGATCACCGCGGAGTTTCGCTGCTCGGGTTAAACGTAATATATAAGTCACTTAGACAACCTAAAAATGTTATTGTTGGGCTTTTTTCAGTGTTTTGTTTGTTCGTGAGTAAATCGGTTTGGCTGAGATTAAAGTTATTAGATTAGATAAAATAAAACTTTATTAATCCCCCGGGTGGGTTCCTCCTTGGTTTTCACACAGCTGACTAAACGTCAAACAGAAAACTGATTAAACAGAAGTGTGAGACAGTCGAGAATTTACGCCAGTGTCCTGTTATATTTTAGATAGCAAGGAGCAGACGGCCGAGTTTATTAAACTCCACCGAGACAGCGGTGACGCTAATCAGAAGGCTAGACCGTCCAATTTCACGGCCGTTTACTTCCGGCCTACCCGACCTTCTGAGGACCCGGCCCACGTAGACCGCGAAGGCCGGGTCCTCAGGAGGATGCAGCCCATGAATTTGGACACGACCTTTGATACATTTATCCTACCATAAAACAACGAGACAAGGTACGACCTCCCCCATGCTCCCAGAGTGCTCTGGAATCACACAAAGTTTGCAGACTATAAGGATCAAACCTCTACCAATCTAAAACTAATTATAAAACTCTATATAAGTAGATATTTCTAAGCATAAATGACAATCAACAATACAAAACCTAACAAGTGTTCACAAAACTAACTAAAATTAACTGTGTGTTCCGACCATGTTGTTCAATACAGGCGACATAAAAACAACCAGCAGTGAAGAATTTCATTCTATGTGTTAACAGACCTCTCTGCATTGAATCATATCTGTTATTAACCTCTGTCTCTCTTCCACAGCATGTCTTTATCCTGTCTTCCTTCTCTCACCCCAACCAATCACAGCAGATGGCCCCGCCCCTCCCTGAGCCTGGTTCTGCCGGAGGTTTCTTCCTGTTAAAAGGGAGTTTTTCCTTCCCACTGTCGCCAAAGTGCTGCTCATAGGGGGTCATTGATTGTTGGGTTTTTCTCTGTATGTATAATTGTAGGATGTACTGTACAATATAAAGCGCCTTGAGGAGACTGTTGTTGTGATTTGGCGCTGTGTAAATAAAATTGAATTCCTCATCAGAGGAAGAGTGTCTCCCTCGTCACCGCGGGCGAGCGGTGCTGTAGCAGCTGCTCAGGTGGATGTGTGCGTATGTGTTCCTCTGAGTGCTTATAGATGCGGGTGCTGATGCTGACGAGCGTGCCTCTCACGCACCTTTGAAGAAAGTGTCACCAACTACGAGCAGGAGCTGAGCAGTCAGTGCAGACCAGAGAGCACCGCAGGTACGTGAAACCTGAGGCCAGGTTTCAAACATGCTGTGATGCAACCCTTGTTCGACACACCTGACCTTTGACCCTTCCACTTTGTCTAACTACAAGCCGATCTCAAACTTGGAACAAACTGTTTACACCCAGCTGAAGGGCGTCCTGATAAGTCTAACATTTTGGACGTGTCCCGGTCTGGGTTTAAAACACACCACAGCACTGAATCTGCTCTTTTAAGGCTTTTTAAGGACTTATTTTTAGCCGTGGATTCAGGGAACAGTGTTTTTAGATCTAACAGCTGCTTTTAACACGGTGGACCATGGCGTTCTCACCTCCACAGTCTTGAGACTCTGATCCACGCATTTATCACCTCTCGCCTGGATTATTGTATTTGTGCTTTGAGTGGAATGAGCCCGGCCTCCCTCTCACGTCTACAGCTGCTACAAAACACTGCTGCACAATGTGTAGCCAGTAAAAACAAATGAGAGCTCCTAACCCCGGTGTCAGTGTCCCTTCACTGGCTTCCCGTTCAAGTTTGAATCCATTTATAATTCCTTTATTTGTTTTAAGTCTCGTAATGGTCTTGCATCTTCTAATGTCTGAGCTTGGCTTTTAACCCAGTGACTTGTCATCCGTCTTAAACGTTTACCTTTTGTATGTACCTGCACTGTTTGCTCCTATGTATTAACTTATAGCCGGTTTATTGTTTAATTCTTTTCTATTGTTTTGTACAGCACGTTGGTCAGCTGTGCTTTAGCAATAAAGTGAAAGTGAAAGTATGGAAGTCAGCAATGATCAGGCGCAACAAGAGCTTCCCCAGACTAAGGAAGAACAGAGGAAGTCTGCACCGTTCAGGGGGCAGAGCAGCTCGTAGCGAAGCAGCAGACTGATACCTTCATGGTGACTCATACAAACAAAGTGAAAATGGCAACCAGCGTCTTTCTCACAAGTTGCGTGTAGCTGAAAACCACAATAAGAAAGTAAGTGAGCACTCAGGATCAACTAAAAATGTAGAGTCAAAGTCAAAAGAGACGAAACAGAAGTGAGAATGTAGTAAGAAGCTGGTGTAGTGCTGCCACAAGCTGGAAAAACCTTCAAGGACCAGAGCGAAACACAGAGCAGACTACTGCCTGCTCTCCTGCCCCACTCCTGCTTTACAGGTGAAAACAGAGCAACAGGACCGCTGAGTCTTTGACTTTATTTATTTTCTGCTGTGTTTTACTTGCATCTATTTGAAAGACTGAGTGTAAACACAAAAAATATTTTATTTTATGTGCTGGAATGTGCAGAAAATAGGTTTAAATGTTAAACTAATTTCTTCCAGTCAGAGAATGTTGCAGATAATTAAATTTTTGCTTGATGCATAAAGTTAAAAGATTAAAACTAATAAAACAAGTTTTAAAATGTTACAGCATCATTAAAACTCTGAACTTGTTTCCAGAATACGTTCAACATAATTTCTCACAGTCTTCATATCTACACATCGAGGCAGAGTCACCGCCTCGATGTGTAAGACGCTGATTCACATCGAGGCTACTGCAGCAGGTTTTTCTGCTTCTTCATTAATAAAAATGTAGTTTAAATGTCAGGAACACGTCTCTTGAGTTACTTCACAACAACCTCATCACAGGAATATCCGAGCTTTAGTAGGCGGGCCTAATAATTGAGGATTTTGCTTGTGGATGCTCAGGAGGAGCAGCAGCGCCAACAAAGACGCAGAGTAGCTTTGAACCGGACAGAACCTTTGCTGTTTCGGACCCCATAGACCCAACCTCCAAGGGCCAAGAAGAGTTTGTCCATTTGTACAAAACCTGGCACTGAATGTGCAACGATTTATACTTGCCACTAAGGCTTTGGCCTCCCTGCCCTACCATGCCCATGCAGGATGCTGCAGCATAAACACTGTGCCCTGGCTGGTCAGCAGGATGTGTAGAAGAGTGACGTCCTTCATCCTGGTCTTTAGTGGCACCAAATGTTATATGTGGAACCTGTTTAAACAGGAACAATGAAGAGACACCTAGGCTCCGGTAACTGGACAGGTGCTTTGGTTTGTGCGTCGAGTGGACAGTTTTACTGAGATGCTGACGAAGACTCAGATATGAGAAGACGAGACCTGAACACCAGTGTGGATGACTCCAGTCCCATCTTTGCACAGTTCTGAGTCCAGGATAGATTATAAAGCTACTTTTTTTAACATATTAAAGATCGGACACCCCAATCATTACACTGCATATGTCAACTGCACTCCAACCTGAGGCTGGAAACCAAGGCCTGAGTTTCACCTGCTCAAAAACTAAAGTAATCCCACACACGTGGCTTTTTTAAATAATTCTCTTTCACCACCTTGAGTTCGGGGGTGTCACAGGACTCCTACGTGTGCTCCTATATTAGTGGTGGTTTCAGCGGTGAGACATATCACATTATCACAGATATGCATTTAGGTGTGTACAGGTTAAAAGTGGAGCTGGTTCAGGACTCGATCAACCAACAACTGCTGAGCCAATCAGGTGCGACGAGATTGGTCCTCAGTGGAAAAATGTGTTGTAGAAATTCCTCTTTAACTGTTTCTCATTAAATGTGAACATTTCATACATACTGTGTTAGCGTGGCTTCTTCCTTCTACCAGCTTTATTATTAATTTCCCAAATTTTCTGCAGAATTTTGCTGGTTTTTTCCTAATAAATGTGTCATTTTTTCTATTAACTTTGCCGGTCTTTCTCATAAATGTAAGACGTGTAAATGTTTTTAAAAAAGCCCCTTAACTTTTGTTTTTACTGAAAGCTGCTGAATAAGTGATTTTTGATTGGCTGGCGGTTATCAGTTATGATACACACTCACCCCCAAAGAAGTAGAGTCAGCACGTCTTCTTGAGTAATCATTTATTAATGAATTTAAGGCCACTCTGGACTGTGCAGAATTCATAAGGGGCGCAGAAATAAGTCAATTACATCATCCTGGGTAACTTCACTCTGCGGCTACGGATTTCTATTTTCACATCAGAACGGAGTCAAACCAAAGCAAACGTTTAAGCAGCTTAAAGAATCAAACATATTCACAGGTAGAGGCGGCTTGATACGCTGAAGTAAATGCTCAAAATACAAGTTTCCAGTTCACAACACAGCATGCTTCATATGTTTGAAGTGAGCACTGATATGTATTCAGCACTAAGTTGTTCTTGGCCATGCATGCCAACTCCCAGTACAGATATATAGGTGATATTATACGAGTGTGTAAGGCCAAAGGTTGAATATGATTTCAGAGTAAAGTCATAGTCTTCACACAGGACAGGACAAAACGAAGGTCTTTACAGAGCAAAAAAACAAAAAACGTCAAAAATGATCCCCGTCCACAAACTGTATATAAAAGATGGCTGTAGCATCGTGCCTTAAACCTGCAATCTTTTCTAACGACCAGCAGGTGGCCCCAAAAACAGGACTGCACTAACATGTGGAGCCAGTCGAGGGGACTGACTGCTTCCTGTTCATCGCATCGTACATAATGGACTGTATATAAATGATGGACGGAGCCACTGTGACATCACATCAACCCTTCCCATCAAAGATTTTTTACTTTAATAAATGTACATGCTGGTTCTGCGACTCCTCAGAGGCCCGCTCATTCTGGACCGCCACATGAAACAGGAAGTCCACACATCTGCCATCTTTTACATACAGTCTCTGTCTGATACCTGAAAACTACTGTGTGGTCTGTAGTGTTTCTGCACCGACAGTGTTACACAAATATTTGGACTGTACTTTATTATTTCACAGCTTTTCACACCGTCAGCATCCTCTTTGGTTTTGCAGCCAGCCTCACTGGTGACGACGCCCCCCACACACACAGATCTGTCAGTGGAAGAAACTGAGGCATATGTAGGATACGATGAGGACTAACAAAATAAAGGCATAATTTAACAAGAAAATAAATACTTTCTTGTTAAACACTACATTTGAGCCATTTCCGTGTTGGTGCACAGTTTGTTAAAAAAATAATATTCAACACCTGCATGCATTATTCATACTTACATTAGTGTTTTTTCAATTCTGTCTGTTTGGCAAGTTAACCAGTTATAATCAAGACTGAGCTAATGTCTGTCCGCCTCATGTCGTCTACATAATCTGTATTACATAAAAATTGAATGTTTACATTTTCAAACCACATTTTATTTATTTATTTAGTTTAAATTACAAAAATAAATCATGTCCCCCCCCCCACACACACAAACTTTGCCCTCCATACTCGCCTCATAAACACTATTTGGGTGGGTGGCTGCGGTAAAGCAGGTGCCAGTTTCCTCAAATAATTTGTACCAAAATGACTCTCTGTCATTTCCTGCAAGGCCATCATTCAGTGTTCTTGTTTCAGTAATTAAAATAGTTTAAAGGCACCTTAAAGTTACAAAATGTAACTACAACTTTGACCACTGGGGGCAGTGTTTCACCACAAGTGTTTGTTCAACTTCTTGCATTTCTATTCAGCGCCATCAACAAGTTCTTATTTAAGGTGACTCGTAATGTAACTGGCATTACACTAAAGTGTGTCGTCATCTCTTGAAACCTCTTCCAAAGGATTTTAACAATTATTAAAAACACCAGGATTTACATAAAGTACCCCAAATATTGCCCAATGTCATTGGCCTTAAATATTGATTACAGTTTTCTTCTAATGTTTGATTAGCTTAATAAATGTGACCATTGAATTTCATCGTTCCGTTTAATTTCCCAGATTTGTGCCGATTGAGGATAATTAGTGTCACATCCAAATTCACTGCATATAAAGCATCAGAGAAAAGAAAAAGACTCCATTTTGATGCAAAGCTTAACCCCACTGAACTCAGACAGAAGAGATGAATTCAATCAGAAGACGTCAGACATACTGAAGTTTAAGGAGATGGTGTAAAAGGCTGAAAAAAGAGGAGCTGCAACTTCATCTACTTCCACAAACTCATCTATAATCTTAAAAGATACGTTTGTCTTTGTAAAACAAAGGTGTTCACAGACAGGTGTGCAGAAGCGAGAACTTTGCCTTGACGGTAACAGAAGCACAGAAAACCCCTTCGGTGCTTTGAGACGAGAGTCTGACACAGTGCGACTGCTGCTCCTTCAAATCCACCATCCTCGGTAGAGTAAGGTACGAGTGAAAAGACGAGACAAAAAAATAGATTCTAAGGCCTCACACGGTTAAACCAGCGACCACAGCGCTGCAGATATATAAACTCATAGAGTCCAACTGTTAGCCCCGCCCCCCTCTCTCGGCTGCGGCTCCCTCAGAAGAATAAATTAGAGCAGGACCGGAGGAAGCGGCACATCACTTAGAAGAGTTGATCCATCTTTAACAGATTTAGGGGTTTCATCATCCAGCACGCCCGACGACGTGAAGGCGGAGCGACACTCGGGCGACAAAACTTACAGAAGAAAAATCGAGAGGAAAAAAGCCCAACACCTTCATACAGCATGTACTGATAGGATTATCCGTCTGAAGTGAGAGTAGCGAGGACTACTTCTCTTTGGGCTTTTCAGCGGCGTCTTTAGCTTCAGCCTTGGGAGCGGGGCCGGGAGTCCGGGGCGGCGGGTGCAGGCCGGCCTCCGTGCCGATGTTCACGGTGATGTTGGTGTACAGGGGCAGATATTCCCGCGAGATGACCTCGTATTCCACCGTGTTCATCCCGTCCGCCCTCCAGGTCTGACGCGTCTTAGCGAGCATGTTGAACCTGACAGACACACGAAGCAGAGCATCTTCACTCTTCCAGGAGAAACAGCACAGCGGCTCGATTACAGCAAAATCACGACCTCGTTGTTTCATGGTTTACAAACAAACAAACACTTTTCCACTTCGAGAGTACAGTAGACAGTAGACAGGTGTCCAAAAGCAAACATGTGGACAGACTGTAATCTGGCTTAAATAAAAACAGCCTGTGGCCTCACTTGTAATTTACTCAGGACCAGGTTTGCTCTAAAAGATGTCTGAAGGTTCATCGTGGTCTAAGGAGCCACGAAAGAAAAGCGTCTGGACTTCTTTAGGTTTCTTGAAGACATTACACCTCTCTGTCCTAAAGGTCAAAGGTCACTCCGTTGAGGATGTTTGAAACAGAAGTGAAAGAAGCCATCTATGTCCATGGCCATCTTTCAGTCACATGATAGGGTGGGGCTAGGTTTCACAATGAGCTCGCCCAAAACCGCGGCTGACAATGACCTTTTTTCACACCGTCGCTCATGTGATGAGACACACGACCAATAGTTGGTCAACGACCTTCTTAAGGGTTAAACACCTGAGACGCTCCACCGTTTACTCTCAGAACTGAAGAAGCGTCTCGGATGAGAGTTTAAACATCTTCAAGAAACTTAAAGACGTCCAGATTCTTTTACTTCGAGCTCCTTAGACGATCTAGAAGATACAGCTTCCAGCTTCCACTGCCCTAAAGCGCCAACGCTGAACAACACCGACTAATTTTAGTTTGCCGATCTGCATCGGTATCAGCATTTATACATGCCAACAAATGAAAATGCAAAGGGAGGCAGGAGAAACACATGTTAGAGGTGATGATGTGGCACCGCTCTGGATGCACGACTGTTTGGAATAACGGGAAAAATGACCAGCTGACCTGAGAAGAGTCGGGAAAGTGTCAAAGTATGGAAATCTTTGCAAACAAATCTTTCCAAAACATCTTTCCAAAACATTTCCTTCTTCATTCCGACACACGCGTCGTGTGTCGGAATGAAGAAGGAAATGTTTTGGAATGTGGGGTTTTAATATCTTCAAAATCTGCATCATTCAGGCTCCAGACAAAATTTACATAATGAAGCTCGCTAACGTCAGATGCGTCGGCGGGTCCGCGCTCCGTGTTTACGTTTTTTTTTCGCGATAGATTCTGAAGCTGCAGGTTTCATCTTTCTTCAGTCAAAATTGACTGAACCAGCAGCCAAAGAAGAGCAAACTACGCTTCACATACACGTCGTCATGAACTCCCTCCGATTTGCTGTTTTGCCTCCACTTCATGCACAGCTCTCTCTCTCTCTCGCTGTTTACTTCAAGAACTGTTTCCCATTCGCTTGCTTGTTACCCACCAGTCTACAGTTGTTTACAGCGCTGTCGGCCGCTGCGGTTTAAATGACTTTTTCATTTCTGCTGTTCAATACTGAAGAAATTTAAACTGTTTAAATGTATGCAAACTTGCAAAACGCTCAGCTGTGTCTCCAATCAAACCTCTAACTTTGCTCTGCTTCACGTCAGCAGCATCAGGTCATGTTCACGTGTTGATTCGTGGTTTTCTTTTGTTTTTGATCTACTGCTGAATATTTTTAAGGTCATCTGCTATAAAAAAAATCTCCTTCATGTTTTTCTGTTTTATACGGAGCCCTGCAGGGCACATGGGAGAAAAAAATTAAGACGGACTTTTGTGAGATCTCGCAAAAGTCCGTCTTAATTTTTTTTCTCCCATGTCCCCTGCAGGGCTCCGTAGTTTTATCCCCAGTTCTTTGACACAAAGGCATCTGCTGTGATGCTCACACCTTTGATCAAGTCTCACAAGTGTCAGCTTTCTTTTTATAGATATAAAAATATGTATATGTACTGATAAATGCTAAGAATTATAATATTTCCGACTGAGGCAAAATGTCCTCGATTCAAATCGAATCAATTCTAGAAATCTGTGACGATACGCAGCTCAACTTCCAGCTAGCTGTGACGTAGCGTGTGTCTAACTCTGGTATCCAACTATGGCCAGCGAGTCACGTCTGGTCGTTTCTGTGCTCAGACTTGAGATCTCGTTATCCCAGCGAGCACTCGGGCCGCAGTACCTCTTTGGGTTCACGTCGTTGCCTTTGTCCAGCTTGTGTTTGATCATCTTGTACCGGCCCACCTTCAGAGAAGGACGAGTGATGTACATGCCAGCCAGAGAGACTCTGTGGAGACCAGAAACAAGCGTTAGACCGATCACCCCTCCTGATCACTGAGGACACGCACAGCATTTCCCACATGATTACGGGTTAAATTCAGGGGCGGGGTCACTTTGACTGACATCTAGCCTCGGTCTCCAGTAATGTTTGACTCAGCTGTGTCAGGATCTCTGGACCATGTTTGACTGTTGGAGAATTCACCTGATCAATAACAGGTTTCTACTGTTGCCCCGGACAGTTTATGGATGCGAGAGCGCATAAAATGCAATATGACAGAGGCTGCCTCGCTCTTTCATGTGGAGCCTATGAGGAACCCTGAAACCGAACCGCACGATGCTCACCTGACTCCGATGTCGTCGTCCTCGCCGCCCCAGCCCCAGTAATTGTTGGGGAAACCGTTCATTTTAAGGTAGTGCAGGGGCGTCAGAGCGGACACGCCTCCAAAATACATCTTGTATGGAAGCCTGGAGAGGGTTAGGATTAGAAAACAAGACAAATTAAAAGCAAAATAAAGAGCATCAAGGTTTTATTATTAGTTTCTGTGCTGTTCAGACAGGTTAGAATATATGGCAGGTGTGTGGAAACTAAACTCTGGCATTTAAATAATAAAACACACACATGCAGCTTCTGCAGAGTCGCCGGGTCCATGCAGCAAACACAGAAGCTAAAGTTTCACTGAGCCAAGTTTATTTCTGTAACTCATTTAAAACTACAGCAGTGCACAAACACTTTCAAGTCAAGGGAAATGTTTTCAAATGAAAGTATAGATAAAATTCAAGTAAAGATAAAAGCAAATCAACAGTAACCACGTGGGGTGGACGAGCTCGAGTAAAACCCGCCCTTCTTTACCTCAGGCCCCCTCCAGTAAGAACTTTAAACATCCCAACACATCTGTCCAGCAGAGAAACATCTGGGTATTTCTACCCTGCACTGATAGAATATTATTATTTTATTCTTCACTCATCAAGTTATTTTTGCTTTATTCTGCTGATTGGACCGTTTTACCACAGAGATTATATTCAATACATTTCACTTGGACACATTATAGATGCTTTTTTAGTTACAGAGCTCTTTAGCACATTAAATATTACATATAGAAAAACTACATCAACAGTAAGGTTTATTGTACCTTTACAACTTTACTATTCTGCTGCTTTATTTATGTATTATTTGTTCTTTAAATGCAACCTTTTCTACAACTGACATCATGACACATTTTTGTCACATTATATTTTAATTCATTTTATCGAGTTACTCTAATCAACTCATCCTGTTTTTTCAGGACATTTTATCTGAATTTATTTCATTTTAATATCTAAATGTGTTGGCTGAGCCAGCGTTACACTCTGGAGCAAAGCAGCACCTTTTCCATCAGCACCTACGTTTGGGTCGCCACGGTTTTCAGGGGTTCCCATTAGGTCACAGCACCGGGTAGAGGTACCTTCTTTTAGTATCTGCTCTCTCGGGGTCCCCAAGCGATCTGAGCAGGTACTAAAATGTGATGTCATCAGAATGCTTGCCAGTGATTGGCTGGTCAGCAGTATCACTCGATGAGTTATGAAACCGCCATTTTTGAAACCTGGCAACGACGGGAACGGCTACAAAAACAAGGCCGTGTTCTCCGAGTCTGATGAAAAGCCACAGACAGAGCAGCAGGCATATCGTCACCTCGACATCCACTTTTTTGTAGCGTTCGTGCCGCATATTAGTCACGTCGCAGGACGCTCGGACGTGTCGCTACGAGGACAACCATGCATGTTAGGTAGAACCGGATTGTAGTGGCGATCCGAGCAGGTGCTAATGGAAAAGGGGCTACACTGAAGGACAAATGAGGGCTGTCTGAGAAGGCTTGTGGACTTTTTCTATTGGTTGGTTTATTTGAACTAAAGTGAAATATTGCCCACTCACAGGACTGCTTTCATACAGCACTTCATTCTACAGCTTGCACTGAAACCACGACATGTATCGGTCGTTCTCAGACATACTTGTAGCCGAACTTGTCCATGGCGATGGCCGCGTGCTTGGGGTTCGAGTCACAGACGTACGTATTCCGGTCGTCTTCTGGAATGAGATCCACATCATGGAAGAAGAGACAGTCCCAGTCCTCCTCCTTCATGGCCTCCCGGAAACCGGCGTTCATCAGCTTGGCTCTGTTAAAGGTGTAGTTTCCAGCCTGCAGAAGAAAAACACAAATGTTTCTTCACGTGACCGTGAAACAAGTTTAAACGGAATATTTGTGTAAATGAAAAATGCACAAAGCCAGACGTTCTCACTCAAAGAAGGACGCACAACAGACTTCAGCAGGTCAAATATTCAGCCACAGAAACGCTGTGATGTTTGTGCTAAACAGGGATTAGTGAGGTAAACTTTAAAAGCATTTCAGGGAGTTTGTGTGAAACAAGCAACCAATCAGAAGACTGTTGCATAAAAGGAGGAGGAGCTTGTTTCAGACAGGATGAACCGACGCGCTGCTGGAGAATCCAGGAACAAAGGAGACATAAGCCCCGCCCACTGAGGGTTACGATCTAGCGGGACCAAACGCACATTTTTTTGTATTTTATTCATTTACTTTTCCACAGGTAGTCCCACTGAGACCCAGTGTCTCATTCCCAGGAGAGACCTGATGGAGCGACGAATGCAACGATGTCCTGTGACCGCGGGCCACGACTCAGCTGTGTAACATGAACTCTGATAAATAAGACGCCAATGAGCCAGAACTAGAAAGTTTAGCTAGCAGCACATTAAACAGCACTATCAGAATGTGACTGAATCCAGCTGAGCAAAGCTAATAAAAATCTCATTTATAAAAGCATTTAATTGAAAATCATCACAGAGTGTGATGGTACGATCCAGCTCAAGAGGCGCAGCAGATAAAGAGCTGAGGCTGAAACATCAGTGAGCTCTAAACAGATTAAACCTCTGAGCTGCTTCAGATTTCTTATCATCCAACATGCACATCCAGTGACCACACACCAGAGGGCGCTCTTTATCAAGCATCAACTAGTGCATCACCTTAGACAATAAAAACCCTCAATACTCCAAATATTATAAATCTAAACATTAACACAAAGACAGTAAAATTAATTTCCAACCGCCTTCTGAATTTTAGTGTAAAATAGAAATAATAGAAACCTGGTGGATGACGTAAATGCCATATTTGAGCTGCTGCCGCTGCAGGAACGGATGCAGGTAGTAGAGCAGGAACTTGAGGTGGTGCTCTCGGTGTCTGTGGGGAATGATGATGGCCGTGCGATGCCTCGCCACGCAGTCCGGCGGCCTGTATTGTCCTCCGCGCACCACCAGCGGATTCTTCCTCTCAACCTCGGCCAGACTAAGGCGTGACGGGAAGCTGACGTGGATCGGCCCTCCTGTGGAAAAAAGTTATAAATTACGTCCAAGAATGAATATAGTTACCGGACAGAAAGCAAATGATGTGGTCAGGGTACGAGAAAAACATATCTATAAAAGGAGAGAAAATTTGTCACTATATTAAAAGTATATACACACTGCATTAATCAAGGTTAAGCTGACGTTTGTTTGTTTTTTAAAGCCACGTCGCTCCAACGCCCGCTGACTCATCAGATCACGTGAACAGGTGGTGGGTTACAGATGCAGGTGTGCCGCCTACCCAGGTCAGCTCATCGTGGAAGCTTCAGATTTCTGTTTTCAAACTGACTAAATACAAATATGCCCGCCCGAGCCTTTCAGCTGTTCCAGTGGAGGAACCCGAGCCGCTCAAACCTCCAGCAGGTTTCGTTTGTCTTTGTGTTACAGCGACGAACATCTTTGTTTTTTCTTCAAGAGTCTTTTTCTTCCCTCATATCAATTCATGGTCTTCAAGTGGTTTCAAATTACTGAATAAACATGCGGCAGGATTCTGGGTTTAGACGGCGTAGCTGTTACAGAGCTGACAGAAGAGTTCAAGTAGAGCGCAGTGAGCTCAGGGCTCATAGTCAAAGCTTCCTGGTACAAAGAGCAGTTTCCTTTTAACGTCAAATCCTGGCAAACACGGAGCATAAAAGACCTCTTCAGGTGGAAAACTGTCACAAGCTTTATGGTGCCTTCACACGGTGTGACAGAGCTCAGTGGTTTGATGGCAGCCGTATGGTTGGCATCTCTTACGTTTATTGTGCACACGTCATTTCCACAGAGCCAAAGACACGACTGTCAGCGCACTGAAATGTCCCCACAAAAACATCTGTATCACTGAAATATGACAACCAGAGGAAATGTAAGGCGCGCTCACTTGATGACATCGACTCACATGAAGAGTTGACTGAAACTTTCCCCACAGCAGGTGAAAAAGGGTGGAGAAGGTCATGACCCCTCTGCAGCGTCATGTTTTTATAGATGATTGATGGACATAAACTTAGCACCATAAAAGCAGCGACTGTGTCACACCCTTTAGACACTAAGATCACACAGGCGCTCCTTCCCCAGCCTGTTAGTGATCAAACACAGATCCTTTCCTGTATATCAGACAGACATACGGGAAACATGCAGGAACATTTAAATATTTTTAAAGAGGTCAGAGTGACACGTGAGAACCGTATTTGGCTTTTATCCATAAGGACAATAACAAAAACTGAAACTAAAGTGAACTGGAGGCAATAAAACGGACTTTTGTTACCATCCACACACACTCAGGAAACCTGAGTGCAGATCAGCTGTGGAGTTTGTGTACAGGCTTCATCTGAGAGGCAACTTGAACCAGGTCAATCTCATCTCCACAGGTATTTTGATTCTAACTGAACTGATCCTGAGAAAGGACCCACACAGAGAGCACGCTGAGGAAAACAAACTATTTTTATATAAAACCTGAAACCAGGTGCGTGATTTCAGGTTCAAAGCTAAAAGGCACTCAGAAGCCAGATGTTACATCACGGATAATAAATCTGATTTCAAAGGGACAGCATTTAAACGTAACATTTGGTTAGGCTCTGAGCCCGTGTCTGGGTCAGGACAAACATGTTTTTTAAGTTTAATGTGAACTGAAATATTTCTCATACTTAAACCCTCTATCACTCACTGGATTTATGTTCACTTTCCTTCTGCAGTTTCTTTTCTTGAAGATACAGCAGAAGGAACCAGTAGAAGCTTCTTGACAATGGTTATTTAGCGTGATGGCGCCGCGCTGACACGTGTTCAGAGGCTGCTCTGAGGCAACACTGGTTTGGAATGCAGGAGAGACGGTTTGTGCCACTTATTGTTGGGTTACGCCAAAAATGTGGTTGGTTGGCTGGTGTTAATGACACAAAGCTGAGAGTAAACAAGCTGTTATTCTTTATTTCCACTTCTTAAATGTATTTATTCATTATTTAACATCTTCATTAACATCGTCTTAACGAGTCAGTTCTGTCTGAAACAAGCTGTTTTGACTCCGCTCCATTTAATCCAGCTTTCTTCTGATTGGCTGCCTCCTCAAAACAGAAGGTTTGTGCAGCAGGTAGGTTTGGCTTCTGTGCTCGATGACAACCATATCAGGAGCCGAGAGCAGCCAGAGCTGTAGAACAGTGATTAGAGCTTCCAGCTCACAGGTATTACTTGCAAACTCGCATTGACTCAAATGATGTTTAACATGACTGTCAGCCACAGGAACAAACATACTGCTTTTATATAACGGGGGAACGAAAAGCACAAAAGTGCTGCATACATTTCCATTTTCTCTTCAGTTAATATTAAGTCAATGCCACCTGTTTTGTTTATCCTCTCTGAGACTGAACGCAGAGCTAAACAGGAAAAAAAAATAAAAGGTCACGTGACTCAAATATGCAAAAAAAGGAAAAACCCTGCAGTGAGGCTCGTGTCTAGTTTGCCTGTTTATTACAAGAATATTTACACTATATTTAAATAAAGGTGAGACAAAATCAGAAGTTACTAACTTGTGCATATGAGACACTACAGTAGTGAGGGTGAAACATTTAATCATAAAAGTGCACTTCAGTCCTCGCTCACACTCAGCTGACTGCCGGCGAGGGCACCTGCACCAAAACATGGCATCTAATCTACAGCTGAACAAGTTCAATTACAGCCACATTTCCATCCATCCTTCTTCCACTTGTCGGGGCCGGGTCGTGGGCGCAGCAGCATAAGCAGAGAAGCCCAGACCTCCCTCTCCCAGCCTGTCTGGAGGGACACCGAGGCAGGGAAAGCCTGGAACAGCTTGCCCAGCGGGCATCCTTGTCAGATGCCTGAACCACCTCAACTGGCTCATCTTCACGAGCCAAAAAACTTTCATGACCTATAACGTTTCATCAATCAGAGCTGAATTTTAGGGACTTCGCCTGCATTACCTTCAGAGGCCCTACAAGGACGCAAAGTCCCAAATACTTTATTTAAACAAGAGATTCAAGCTTCAACTTTTAAGGGTTACCTGAAGTATGAATCGCTGTCTTAAACCTTTACGATGGATCCACTTAACTAGTGAACATCTATTTAAGGCTAAACGGAGGAAAGCCCAATCCACCTTTGGATCGACACTGAAGACGTGGCATGAGCACTCACCTATTAGAGGGGACGTTTTGGGACAGTAGGGCATGTCGTCTCGATGGCCGTGAGCTTTGGGCAGGTGGGAGAGGTTGGCGTATACGTCCCCTCCACTGATCGTGGGTGTGGTGTGGTTGCGGCCTGATACAGCGCCCCCGTCTGGCTTGCGGAAGATGCGTATGAAGTAAGTGACCCTCTTCTGGTATCCCTCTCGGGACAGCAGCGCCATCACCACCAGCTGGATGCCCAGGAACATGATAAGGTAGCGCCATTTGGACTGAATACTGAACATGGTGACGGCTCGGATGGGTCCAGTGGAGACAGGTGGAACTTGCTGCTCGGGCGTAGCAGGTGATGATTGTCAGGGTTAGTGGAGGGTGGCGTCAAGCCTTGTCCTTCCTATATAATCCAGAATATGGCAGCGCACGGCGGATGTCAAGTGAGTGACAATCTGTGAAATATTTAACTTCAGTATGTCAGACGCGGCGATGTCACACATAAAGGCACTTTTGGTAGGCTGTAAGCACAAAGACCCCCAAACAGAACAAAAGTAGAAAAATATTCCACACTGAGACACAAAAAAAGAAAAGAAAAAAATGTGGTCCACTTTGTCCTCACTGCATTCCCCGCTGCTGCTCAGCAGGTGGTAGGTATCTCCAGAGCTGACTGTTGGTCCACTTTGTGTTTGGTTTGGGGAGATAATGCCAGCCCCACATTATGGAGTCTCACACCGACTGAGCACCATCCGCTGCCCTGTGAAGTTCACTCGCCTCCAGCCGAACAATCTGCAGCGTCTCCTTCTCTCACCCTTCCTGCCTTTGTGAGCTTTATGCTGCCTTCTGCTGTCCCTCCTGCTCTCTCCTGAGGGAGGCCTCCACAACAACAACAGCCGCCATGACAAAGGGGAGCATATGCGGCCGTATAGGCGCTATACTTTACAGAGGATTACACGGCTTCCAGCCGCTCACCGCCTGACTGGCTGGAGAGACGGTGGGAGTGGACCGTGACTTGCGTGGGAGGAGTGGTCAGAAGGGTCCTGCATGAGTGAGTGGGTGGGTGAGTGTTTGTTAGGGGGAGGCTTCAGTACAGAGTGAGGCTGAGAGAAAAAGAAATAGGGGGAGGAGGACGAGGAGGAAGAGGTCGAGCTTTGACTCCCAATGCTATTATTCCATGATGATGCGATCCACCTTAAGCCGCTCACTGGTCACCCTGGATCGACAGGAACTGGACGGGTCACTCCAGCATGGCTCTGGAAGACAGGAGAGGAAACAGGGCGGGTGTTAAAACTGACTGACATCCTTTGGCTGAAACTGTTGAAGTCAGCGATTTCAGCACACAAACAATGAGCTGTTGTTACAGCACAGGCAAACAAATGGATTGTGTTTGTTTACAGAGACCAAACAGCACAGTTGGAAAGCCTGCACTAATCACTCAGTGGGAGATCCCTGCTGCCCACGGTGGGCGGCAGACGGGAAGCCACGCATCACAGCGTCGAGGAAGTTTCCAAAATCTGCAGCCGGAGCAGTGCATCCTTCTGCTCCTGATGAAAGGACCCGATGATGTCGTCCTTCCTGACCCGAGCTCTGCTGCAGCGATGCTGAGCACATCCTCAGTTACAAATCAATTAGCGCTCGTTAAAGCAGCCGCACTCGGAGCACTAATCCTAATCCTACTGAACGCTACGTGGCTGGTGGAAACACGGACAGAGAACCTGCGCCTACATCAAACACCGCGACCCAAAATCAAACGATATTTTATCCTGAACAAGAACTTGGAGTTCACCCTATTTTAACTGAAAAGTAATCAGTTTCTGGACATTTTTTAATGTGTATTTTTGTTTATTGTCATTTAGTGGAAATGCCACCATGTCTATTCTTCTGCTTTTTACATTTTTTATAGAAAAACATTCAGAGGAGGACATATGGTCCGCATTTAAAGAGAAAGATTGACAAGACCTCAAAAATATCTGAAAACTATAGAAATGGTAAAGATTACAGACCCGTGCAAGATACAGAAATGATTCCAAGGCAGATCATCGGTACATGAAAATTCTGGTATAACATCACCAAGAAGACTGTATGATAGGATCTTCAGCACTTCAGCATCAAGTACCCACAGGAAAATGTCACATTATGAACATTTGTTCCTGCTCAGACTCTACAACAGGGCTGGGGAACTCCAGGCCTCGAGGGCCGGGGTCCTGCAGGTTTTAGACATCACCCTTCATCTACACACCTGAATCAAATGATTAGTTCATTACCAGGCCTCTGCAGAACTTCAAGACATGTTGAGGAGGTCATTAAGCCATGTAAATCAGCTGTGATGGATCAAGGACACACCTACAACCTGCAGGACACCGGCCCTGGAGTTCCCCACCCCTGCTCTGCAACAGGAGATAAGAGCCGCTTGCTGAATCGTGTGTGTGTGAGTGAGGACGACCCCAAAAGGAGCTGTAAAGGTAGGCAAACAAAAAAGAGACACTGATGTGATCAAAGATATGCTGAGAGAAAAACGAGCCCTTTTTGTTCCTTCATACCATCAAAGCCGTGTTAGCCTTGCTCATTTCGACAACAAAGCGAACGCATTCTGAGCATTTAACACCGAGTCCTCGGGAACTCCACGCAAACTTTAAAACGACAGACAGGAAATGAAGAAAAGCAAAACACACTTTGATCAACTTGCAGAAATGTACTGATGCTATCTGACTCCTCGTTCTTTAACAGCTGACTGGGGGATTTTCATGTGAAGGATATTAAATGGGTTTCCTATTTCCCCTCTGAGAGAACATGCGGATCAAACAGAAGAGGAAATCCTCTGCGAAAGACTTTCATCAGAGCTGGGAGCAGATGGGAGGATTGACCCCTGACATGTCGCCCGGCACCTATAACCTCTTGATATGGTTTATGACATGATATGTCAGAGACTGTGGCTAATCCCACAGAACGGAAATTCATCTCAACCACTCTGAGCAGATAAATAAATAACGTAATCTGTTTTGAAGTAATCGCTGACGCTTTCTAAAAGGTTCACATTCACTGGATTATGAGTCTGAAGCTCTTCAACCATGTGACTGGACAGAGGGAATAAAGGTCTGCACATCTCTAAATTTACTCAAGTGCACTGAGTGCATTCAACCCTGGAGCCTTAACGGGCCAAAGGAGCTCTGAATAAACTCGTACTGCTAGTACCTGCCGTCTAATCATGTTAATCTTCTTTTATTGTAGTCGACAGCAGGCTGCTAGGGCGGCGCCTTCAATGATCATGTGATTTCTGAACCAGTTCGACTTGTGATTCCAGCACAGCTATGATCAGTGTTGCCCACAGATTCCATTTGTGCGTGCCACATACCACTACAGCAGCTGAGTTTTCGGCCCATGAAGTTGTTTCCACTATCAATATTTTCATGTTCACCTGCTGAATAATTGTCGACCTGCTTTTATTGTAGACGAAGCACATCGTGTACCTGGGAAAACAAACGCACACAGTTTTCTTTAAAGGGTGTTTGACAGACTTCCTGAAACTGCAGGGCGAGGACGTCGGGTGTTGGCCAGTCGTAGCACAGCAGGGTGGAACATTAGTCTGCTGTGTCTGCCAAGCATCACTCAAACTCAATGTATGGGAATCGAGCCTTGAAAAATAATCCAAAATACTCGATTTTCTATTATTTTCCACAAATGATACAATCTATAGGTGGACGGGAGAGAGACCTCAACATATTATCCAACAATGCACACAAATCAATGCTTGAATTCCAGTTTTTAACCAAAGGAGATAAGATGGCTATTAATGTTAATATTATGTGCCAACTTGATCTACTAGACAACTGGAGAAGATCCCTGGAGAATGAATTCATGCGCTCCGTGGCGCTCCCGTCTATTCTCACGTTCTTTATGAAGAGCAGAAATAACAAAGATACTTTAGCGCTCGCGGCTCGTGCTGTACCTGAGCTGGTTCACACAAAGGGAGAACCTGGCAGCGAGCGCCTTTTAAATAAAGCTCAGGCGCCAACTTACAAGCACACAAAAGAGGCCCGGAGCTGCATGGATCTTTCTGTGCTGGCTGAGGATGAGGAGTGAACTAAATACAGAGAGGAAGAGCAGCAGTCTGGTGACGTCTGTGCTTTTGACTTCATCGGCTCTCCTGCACGGATGGTCTTCCTCTCTGCATTTAGAGCCACATCAGAGAGACCCTTTTCTGCTCTGTTTCCCAGCATTACTGTGATCTTATTTTCCACCCAAGTATACAATCTCTACATTTTCCTTCATTAGCACATGTCAAACACATGGTACCCACTCGCTGTTTAGTTCAACTCGAGCTGAGCAGGCTGAAGAGTCGCCGATCAACAAGAAACTAGAGATGGCACCAAACCACCTTTTTATGTTCGATACCGATATCATAAATTTGGATATCTGCCGATACCGATGTGAATATGATACAGTGTGTTTCTAATCAATAAAACTGTTTTTAAACATCTTCCTGCATTTTGTACAAGTTCATAGTCAAGTTTTAACAAAACAAACAAACAAAAAACACTAAAGCTATTGTGTTAAACCTGTAGGCAAAAAATACACCATTAAAATATTTCATAGTTCAGCAAAACTGATCAATCTCATAAACGTAAATCCTCCATCCTCCCTATTCTGGCATTTTAAAGAGCACTTAGCAGAAATATTAAACAACCTAACGAACAGGGTTGCAAACTCCCAGCAAAGAAAAAGTGAACCAGCCCCCAATTTTAATTTAATGCATGTGTTTAAAAAAAAAAATGCACAGAAATCAATTCTTTTTCTACAATAATTAAATAGATTCAACATCTTTCTTCAACAGAGCTGCAGACTGCACAGATGGTACCTTCCCAAAGGAAAAAGTACTACAGCTTACTAGGGTATATTAGACTTAACAGTTACTATATACAGTAATGGACTTCTATACATTTTACATCAGATGAAGACTTTGGGTGTAAAACTCCGATAATTATTTATTAAAAGCTCGACATTTCAAATGAGAATAAGAAAGAAAAGTATGTCTCTGTGCCCCCTTTTCCCTGTTAATGCCCTATCGGCCCCCCTGGCTAAACCATGCTAGATGCGCCCCTGCACAGTTACGTCAGCTGCGTAGATATTTAATGGTTCCCCTCCAATATCCAATCCAGTAATTTAGTTCAGTATCGGAGCGATACCGATACGTAATATCGAATCGGTCCATCCCAACAGGAAAGGTTGAATGGAACGACTCTTATATAGCTTTTCTACTCTTCCAGAGAACTCAAAGCACTTTATACAAGATGCCGCATTCACACCCATGTTTAAGTGTTTTCTATCTAGCAATCACATGCATTAGAGAGCGACCTGTGCTCAGCATGTTGCTCGAGGGTATTTACATTCAGATACTGGAGCAGCCGGTATCAACAGACAGCCTGCTCTTGAGCTACAGTCGACCTTTAACAAGCTGAAGCAGTTAAAAGGTCATTAACACTGTACTTGCTTTAGCTTGCAAGGGGTCCAAGTGTCAGCTGCCTGTTGGCCAACATGCTGCTCCTCCAAGGCAACAAGTCTGCTACCATCTGCCACCACAGGCATCTCACTGGATGTTCAAGCCACAGGCCAGGTCATGGTAGATTTATGCAGTTAAAGACAACAGGACTTCTTTCAGGTTCCTGAAGATATTTCGCCTCTGATCAACAAAACTTCTTCAGTTCTAAAAAAAAAAAGAATGATGGGAGCCCCAAACATGTGGGTTCTCCATACAGAGAAGTCCTGAGAGTCGCTGACCCTCCCTGAAATCACAGGTCTTAAAGGATCACACGAGTCAATACTATCTCAGGGTCAAGGGTGAGGGTGTGAGACACTGCTCCCACACCACCATCATGTGAACTATTAAAGTCAGCAGGGGTTGAATAGCCTGGGACGGGATCCTGGTTTTTGGAAGTGAAGACCCTTCTTTGATGAGAGACTGAACATCTACACACATCAAACAGCAACAGTTTGCTTCACTTCAAGCTCTTCAGACTTGGTTGTATCCTGACGTGTAGCTTCCCAGAAACATAACTAAGAGTCACACTGAAATTCTGCAGTGACTAATTGGTTTCTGTAGCACTGTTTCCCGTTTCTGTTCCTGGTCACTCCTCCTTTTGTTGCCTTGCTGAATCAGCTGCTTGTTAGTGTTTTGGCAGCAAACCTACTGAGCGACTCGGGCCCACCAGCATAATGATGTGATGATGATGTATACTTTACTGATCCCTGTGGGGAA